TTTTAGAGTTTGTTTTTACCTTAATAATTTCCTAGTAACATTAGGTTTGTATTAGGTTTTTATTGCCTTTAAATAGCTTTCAAATTCACGTTGTAAGATAGACTTTGATTAATCGAAAAACAAACCCTTTGCCTTTATGCAAGTTGCGACTTGTTTGAGTTTGGTGGATTCCAAGCTTGTGAGCTTTGTATCGATTGAATATCCTCTTCAATCGTGGTCGAGCAGCTACTCTTTTATACCATACGAGCTTTCCCAAGGTGTGGAATTGTTCGTTGGTTCCGTTTTATCCCAATTTCGTATTAAGAACGCGTTGTTCTTGATTTAAGTTCAATCAATCTTCGGATTGATTGTTTGCTGTGTTACTTTGATAAAAATACACCCCTAGAGTCGTATTACTTATATAATGTAAAATTATCAAATCCTTAAAAACATACGACCAATTTCTAAAGATAGTAAATCACTTTCAAACATTCTCAAATTAAATCACAGACACCTCCTGGACCTCCAAATTATAAAGTTGGTAAATCTAGAAACAATCACCTGAGCAGGCTCGAAACAATTTAAACATTTTAAATCACATTTCTGTCACTAAAATCCTGCAATGTCCGTCGCTAAAAACCCAGAATTGCACCCCCACGAAAAATCACCAAAACTACCGACCTAACTCGAAGCAGTAGAGTTCCCTTACCTCTAGATGTGCCTGGGACTAGATCGAATGGCTCGGACGTTGATCTCATTGTCGATCGATGTTCAAACCCTCAAACGTTACTGCAAACGCTATATTACAAAAATATGAGTTTCGGATTACACTATCGATGAATCGAATTTAGAATCGTGAAAAGATTCATGATCCTTACCTAGGGGCATGAGAGGGATGGGGTCGGGGGCTCGGGGACGGGGTTAGATCTTCCTCTCCTTTTCTTTTTCATTTCCCTCTTTCGCTCAGCCGCGCTGCTTCTCTTTCGGTATTGGGGAAGACAATGAGAGTGGGCGCGCTGCGGGGGGAAAGAATTTGGGAAAGTGCTTTGGGGGACTCGTGGATGCTTGGGAATTAACACTAGGGTTGTTCGGTCCTTTCTTAGTAGATATATATATGGTTCAGGCAACGAAATATATTGAAGTGAAAAATTTAAGTGTGAACACAGGCATACAGTGTACGCTACCCTTTGCCATATATAAGTTAAGTAGTGTTACTGTTCCCTTACTTCTTATAGAGTTTTGCTTTGCACTACGGGAAAAATAATCTCTTGCAACCCTTAAAATGTGTTGCGTAAAGTATTAAAAGAGTTGCAACACTTTTACTAGGGTTGCTTAGAGTAGAAGTTGCAAAAACAATAGACAATTGATTTTTCATTTTCTGCAACCAAAATAAAATGGGTTGTGTATCCTTACCCCTCTTGCAACACTACTTTTGACAACAAATTTAAAAAATTTGCAACACATTTTAGGAAAATGGGCAATAGTTTTTACAAGTTTTCGCAGCTTTTAAATTTTATCTATTACGAGTCTAAATAGGCACCAATTACTGGCCAATTGCCACAAATTTCTTAGTCACAATTACTAATATTTGTGTGACAATGATATGGTCACTAAATATCCTTTTTGTGTCGAGTTAGAGCAGAAATTAAAACAACAACAATGACATTTTTAGTCGTCACAAATAATTGTCATGTATGACAATAATTCTGTCACAATACTCTTTTTGAAATTTGAGATATGATCTGGGACCTGGTTCGGTTGTCATTGAATTACTATTCGTGACGAATTGTGTTGTCGCATATGGTACCTGACCTATATGTGACGAATTTGGATCGTCACTTATAATATACTTTTATGACTATATGATTGTTACAATAGAATCATTTTGTGACAAGTTTTTCATCATAGAAAGAGACACAGTATCCCATCTTGCAGTAGATGATGGATTGGAGTGGGGTCTGTGAGATTGATTGTGTCAAGGAAGATGATGTGTTGGGAGAAGGCGGTGGCTTCCGACGGTGGGAGTTTACTACAACCAAGAACCAAACAAAGAGGGCGAGGTTAACTTTTTAAGGTTTATTGGGGTCAGAAGGAGTATTACCGATTGAGGCGAGGAACTGGTGGGATAGTTATCAGGGGCAGGAGGCAGTGACTAGATGATGAAATGGAGTTGGTGAGGTTAGAAAACGGCTAGTATCATTTAGAGGACGGTTACGATTCCAAAAAACGGAGAAACGGAGGCGGGTTTCAGTCGATGGAAGAAGATAAAAAGTCCGCCTAAATGGGCTGCCAGGTCAGCCACCTAAAATCACTTAATGGGCAGAAAATTTTGAATGGGGGTTGCAGTTTTAATTTAAAACTTATATATCTTTCCGTTCAAGTTAAAAATTTATTTGATGTGTTTTTTATTTTTGTGATTCCTTTGTTTTGGTTTCTCCCATCTTCTTTGGTCATTAGCGGCTCTTAATGAGACAGTCAGCTTTGTCCCTCCCCTACTTTGCTGAGTGTTTTGTTAAGTGTATTCCATTAATTGTTTCAACATGTACATATCAGTAGAACGGTTAGGCAACAGTAAACTGACATTAGCTTTATATATAGTAAATATAGTAACGATTTATGATTAAAGAATCTCAGGAAATCGTTTTGATAAGAGAATGTAGCGCGAAATTTGTGAGAGATTTTAAAATATTTCTTATTTTGCAGGATTTTAAAACAATTATGCCTTCGGAAAGATGAATGTTTTTACAATTAGAAATTTGAAAAAGTCTCAAATGTGGGTTTTTGAAATAGCTGATGAGGATCAGCTATTTCTAAATCTTTCGTTCTTGTTTTATTTTTTTCCATCACCTACCCTCATACCTTCTAAATAAAATTTTCCATGTAATTTTAATTTTCTTATTAAAATTCCTCATTCATTTACAAACAAGTTATTTGGGTCAAATCCTATATTTAAAATATCTAAGTTTTTAATTGAGGAATTTTAACCCAAATTCTTCATTTACAAATTTCCTCATCCAAACGACCCCCGGATTTTTTGCTATTCAAAATTTCTAGTTTTGCAGTTTTCCGCCTACATTTATTAAATTTTGATGTTACTTCTAAGTTCAATATTTTCCTTAATTTTGAAAAAAAAACTAAGTTAATTATTATTGGGAGTTAACTCATTCGAGTCTATCTCCTCCACTCTTCTCTTTCCGTTGCACTTACCTCCCTTTATTCTTTCCCTTTCCGTTTAGCTCAAGAGCACGTCACTCATTGTATAAATCAGTACAACATGTCAACATCCAATAATAAAATTCAAGTCTTCTTCCAAATTTTCACTTATTCTATAATTATGTCATAACTAGTCACAGGCCCGGTCGATTGGCCGAATTCATTTGCCACTCGCGTAAGTAGCAGTAGCAATTTTTATGTGAGCTTTCCGTTTATGTGATAGTATGTTTAGAAATGAAGGTATTTGAAAATATTTAATATTTGGTATCGTAAAAGAAATTAAATTATTTAAATTCTTCAGCCATTCAAAAGATGATATCATAGTATTTTTTGACATTTTAACCGAATATCGAGTATAATTTTTTCATAATTTTTTTTTTATCAAAAAACCCTTCTATACTCCTCATTGTCAGATATTACTGGACGTTTTATTTTTTGTGTTTGTAAAGATCAAATAATCTATCAATGTCGAAGTCCAAAGTGTGGGAATACCATCTCACATTATGAAATTGGTATATTAAAATTGCATTGTGCACTTATTAAATGCCTGCATAAAAATTTCATCTGTGTAAACTATAATAGCCCATGTTGTAAATTTCAAGGACTCGATTAAGAAAACGGATGGCGATAATTCCCGATTCTTTCCCACTAAGATTGCACATCTGACACTTGGCAGTGAATCAGAATTGTGACAAACAGATTCCTTACTTTATATCCAGAATCCTAGAAGGCAACTTCTTTCAAATAGTCACTCCACTCATCATCATCTGCCAATAACCGAAGAGCATAACATGCTTTTGGAAGGAATCATGGACAACACCATTAACTGTTCTAAATTCTTTATAAGAACGACAACCTCGAATTAAATGTAGCAACATGCGAAGATAAAATCTTTGTTTGCCTGATGGAGGACGGTAATACAATCTTCCAATACAAACCTTGTTATTCCTCAACTGCCACCTTTCCAACTACGATTCCAAACAAAATACTATGAAAACTCCACAAAAGTATATTTTCGTGCCTCAGATGAATGCGCATTTATTTTCATCCATGGCAATTGCATTGATGTTTCATCTTTTTCAATAGCTTTTACAAAAATTTTTCTCCTTTGTAACTTCTTTTTCACCCCAGGCAAATGACAAGGCATACGCAACACAGAAGGTGAATTACTGCTAACATCAAACTTAAAAAGTCTCCAACAAGTCTCACCTAATGTGATGTAACGACAGTCTAGAAACGCTTTAATCTCATCAATACAAAGGCATGTTGTTGAAGATTTTTCTTGGTTGTGGTGTTCTCCATTAACACCAGTTCTAGATTCCACAGTCGCCATTACTCTGTCTTCTAGTTTGTTGATGTATATGGACAAATACTTAATCGCCTTAAACAAAATAGTAAATCAATCATAAATATTCGAATATACAAATAATTATAAGGCATAAATTTTACAACCTTTATATAATCTTTTCTCTCAGACCAACACTTCTATTATGTATTTTAGAATCCAAACCTTTTTTCATAATGAAACTTGATCCTGGGTAGATTAGTAAGATATGGGTTACAATAGAATCAAAATATTGTATTCTCTATACATAATAATATACTATCTTTCTGTAGTATACCAATCAGGCATTACAATATATGTATGAAACAATCAAAATAATGATTCCGTATCCTTCCTGGAACTGGGAATAATAAACATATATATGCATATTATATCAAAGGCCCATAAAAGGGATAAATTACACATTTGGTCACTCAAAGTACACAAATCTTTCACGTTTGCCACCCGAATTACTTTTCTTTCTTATTCGCCACTAACTTTATTAATCGTTTGACAGTTAATCACCGCCCGTTACACTCCGTTAAATTTGTCCTACGGGCAGCCAACTATAAAATTTGACCGTTAACTAGATGACGTGGAAATTAAACAAAATAAAAAAATTATTTTTCCAGCTCATCATTCCACTTACTTTCTTTATCTGGTTTATCATCTTTATTATATAATAACAATTAATAAAGTGAAAATGACGAGGTTCTATAAAAGAGCAGTAAAAATTAACGAGCGCAATTCCGACACATCCTACTGCTCTGCTAGTACTGCACTCTAGTGCCACATCCTCTTCCTTCCGGCAGACCAACCAGTTTCCGCCGCCGTTGTTGTATCATTCGCAATGTCGTTGCTTTCGAAGTAGGACTGGTCGAGGGTCGTCGTGTCGTTCAGCGACTGGTGGTGGTGGCGCTGTTGGTCTTCTTTCACGGCGAGGACTTGTTCCACATTGGAACGGAGGGTATTGGTTGTCGCCTCATTGCTCTGTGCCAAATCTTGCCATATTTGGTTCTCGATACAATGCGACTTCACTTGCTCTTCCAGCACCCAATTCTCGTCTTCTTTGGCCCTGAGTCGCTTCGACATTCCTTCCTCTATCACTTGGATGATCCTCCTCGCTTGCCTCTTCCTTTTATCTTCAAATTTCGCCCTCACTTTCTCCATCCATTATAACAAAAAAAACAAATCAACACAATCAGTCACCAATTAAATTGGGGGGAAAAATCAAATCGAGCCAGACTCTGATACTCCTACGAGCGAGAACTTACATGGTGAGAAATCAGGCGGTCGACGTCAAGTTGCTACTGTTAGATCTAGAGGGAGAAATTGGGGCTAAGAAACGAGAATAGAGCACCGCCACCGCCGTTGGCTTTGTTATTGTTGTTCGGCTGACGAGTAGGCATGTCAAATGGGTCTTAGGGTATGTGTTTTACCCAAACCCAATAGAATTTGGGTCAAATCAGGTTTTGGGTTTTTCTGTTTTGGAGCAGACCCATACCCATCCAATTAAATTGGGTCCAACATAGGCCCAGAAAATTAATAAAAAAAAACAAATCTCTACAGAACCCAAACGGTTCTCTTCGACCTAATACGCTTAACCAAGGGTTTCTTGCTGATTCAGGTGTTCCTTCCAGCCAAGGGTTTCTTGCTGGGCTACTCCAATCCCAAGGTAAAAGTATGATGGAAAGTACAGCTTTTGGATGCAGATTAACAATGAAGGAAGAACACCCTCCCTTGCTCACTCACTCACTCAATGTTTGGTTACTGCTTCTGCCTGATAAACTTTACTTCTTTTCTGCTTTTAAGTTTAGGAATTTACTAATGGGAACTAGAAAGTCATAAAGAGAGTTTTCCAGGAAAAACACATTCTGCTGCTTCTAATCCCAGTTTTGCTACTTCCTCGTGATGCAACTGCTACTTTGCTGGAGTTGCTAAGCATATACTAAATTGAATTTCAGAATGAAATAGGTTTGACCAATATATCTTCAAGTTCAAGGGAAACGAAGAATAAAAGTAGTGGTTTAAAAATATTTGCTTGTTTCATTCAATACGAGGACCAATCAAGCTAACATTAAGCGTTTCAAGACTACAAAATTTTTACCAAGGGGGAAAGGAAAAGCAAAAAGCCAGAACCCCCCTTAACTATACAAAAGAATATGTTCTTCCCCTAAATCAGAGGCAATGCGATTCATTAATTTTTTGGCCATCACGGTTGAAATTGAAATTTCGACAGGGAAAGGCCATCACGGTTTCTGTTTTAACTTATACCCAAATGGACTCATTTGGGTCGGCCCAAAAATACAGGTCCATTCTGGACCCAATCTAAACCCAACCCAACCCAAAAAAGTAAAAATAAATTTGGGTCCATTTGGGTCCAAACCCAATACCCATATGGGTCAAGGTATTTGGGTCAAAAAACCCAATAGGCCTACCCATTGACAAGCCTACTGACGAGGCGCTTGATAAGACGAGAACAAAGGATTTTTTTTGTTCATACAATCCCTCGACCTCTTCCTCGACGCCGGAATCTAAATGTTGCTGTAGTTTTTGAACGTCAACAGACCACTGACCTCCGACAGTCTGACTTGATCGCCGTCGCCATCTTCTGCTGCGGTGGAGAGACGGAGTATTATACAGAGAGAGGGTCATAATCAATGGGAGCGGAGCAGTTGCGGCATGCAAAATCGATAAAGGGGGAAGAGATGAAATGACAATGGTGGGAGAGAGGAGAGAGTCAGTAAACCGTTTGGTGGAAGTCTGGTAGAGATAGAAACACAGTCGAGAGAGAATCGGAAAGGAAAAGGGAAATGATGAAGTGGAAAAATAATGAATGTGATTTAATGATGAGGTGAAAAAATAAATTTTATATACTTTTTTAATTTCCACGTCATTTAGTTAATGGTCAAACTTTATAATTGACTGCCACGTAGAATAAATTTAACAGAGTGTAACGGCCGGTGAATAATTGTGAAACGAATCATAAAGTTAGTGGCGAATAAGAAAGAAAAGTAATTTGGGTGGCAAACGTGAAAGATTTGTATTATTTGAGTAATCAAATGTGTAATTTAACCGCATAAAAGTAAAGACCTATAAAAGGGGTCGCTTTTCTATCAATGCACAAAGAGTTGCTTTTCTCTCTATGCATAGAGAAATTGACCCAAATCTCTTTCCGTGAATTGCGCATAGAGCAAGAAAGGGAGGATTGAGAACGTTCCGGTCAGGGTTGTCACGCCGGCCAGCGTGCCACCGGTTGTACTTGGTTCAATTTATACCGGTCATAAAACCGGTGTGACACCATCGGTATGACCAGCATGATCGATATATAAATCTCTAAGTAAAATAACCTTATTTTAGTGACTTTAATCATTAAAAATTATTTTAGTATTTATTTTATGAGTATAAATGTTAAATATTGATGTTATTTGTTGGATTCAAGTATAAATGTTTAGGTATTGACGTTAAATATCATGTTTAAAATGAGTATTTATAATTTTATTAGTAATATTGACCGGCATGAACCGGCACAAACCGGTAGGTGTCACCGGTCAAACCATTCCACTTGCTAAACCGGCACACTGACATAAACCGGTCTGACAACCTTGGTTCCGGCCAAGAAGCTCGATAAAGTAATGTTAGGATGTTCAAATATAAAGTAAAATAAAAAAAATCTTCAGAAGAGTTTCATTGCAACATAGAGGACATGCAATGGAAAAGGAAAAAGATTAGTCTTGTGAATTAAATGGGGTCTAGGTGAACGAGAGGTTTCTAAAAATTTGCTCTTCAAAGAACAAACTAGGCCTAATCTTCGCCTTACTTTGGATGACTTTTACAATACTTGGCAGTAGGGGTGGAAATTGGGGTGGGCATGGTTACCCGTCCCACATTTTGCGGGTACTTACACCCACAAATTTACAATTATGCTACCCACAATCCGCACTACAGTGGTTAGTGGGTAACCACTACCCACTGTGGGTTTATGCGGGTTGGGTGAGGTTACCCGCAAAAATCCATATTTGCAAGCATAGAGGTTTAGTCGCCACTAACGTATTTGTTGTTCGTAAGTAGACTATAGTGATATACACTTGTGTTGTTCGTGGAGATACAATTTTGTAAATCGATCTTACTCAACGTGAACATTTTTCTTTTTGAGTTTGGTATTCAACTTTTGTGTCAGAGAGCTGTGATTTCATATTTCCCCAACTAGGGGTGAAATATGACAATTAAATATCATCTTGTATTTTTTTCACACAAAAACAAAAACATACTAATAAAAGTTACAAAAGGTGTTCACTTTTAATGAATTGATTATTCTCCACTCTATCGGTTATAGTGTTTTATAAACTAAAAAATTCTTACATAAAACTGATTAGGTGTGTCTTTTTTATTTGGTGGCTACTTTAATTTTTATCCTCACACTTTTCACATACTATTATATTATAAAGTTAATTCACTAAATAAATATAATTAGTGTGGTTATTGTGAATTTTGTGGGTTAAACGCGGTGGGTAGTGGATAACCACTAATCACAAAAATCGTAATTTTACTACCCACACTCAACCCACTACCCACAACTTGTGGGTATGATTACCCACAATAGGTGCGGGTTGGTGCGGTTTGCGGATTATCCACAACCCACAACCCAAACTTCCACCCCTACTTGGCAGTATGGGCGCTTTTATTTGAAAAAAAAATTATGATACAAACTGGACTATATTTAAGGATAAAAAATATATTATACCTATATCTTTTAGTACAAGAAGCTGAACTTATATTTTTAAAGATATAATACAAATTCAACATGTAGCTAACCTTTTCGTAAAAAAAATTTATGATATAAACTGAACTTGTACTTTTAACGTTATGATTCAAATTCAACTTGTACAGTTGTACCTATATTTTTTAGTACAAAATCATTTTGACACTAACTCAACTTGTATCTTTAATGTATGGTACAAATTCAAATTCTACCTAAAAGTACCAATGTCTCCAAGCATAATAATAGGGCCTCATGGATGACTTTCACGATTAATTCTCATATCACTAGGATTTCTCATAGACAAGTTGAGCTCGTGGGATTTGTGAATGCAATCGGGCGGGTTCGGCCTGAGTTCAATCAGGTATAATGGTAGAGCTATTAGCATTCTTCTTATGATAGGACCTATAGTATGCTCAACAAAAGAATAATCAAACCTAGCGGCTAAAACTCCTTTAAATTAATACTAGGGAAACCGAAAGTACAATAATAAATAATAATAATAATAATGTTTATTAGAAGAATCCTTGTGATGTCCGGCAAACCCAGTCCCGATCTCACGGCAGTGAGATGAGGCTGTGAGATTCACTGTCCTCCGAACACCCGCTTCACTGGTCTCACGGGCAGAAGTTGCGACCGTGAGGCACGGTCGTGAGAAACTCCGAACACCATCATCCTTTGCCACTGTCGCGTCTTCAGTCATCAAACCTAGAAGCCTCGATGCATCTCTCTCCCGCACCTCTATAGAACTCGACCCCGAGTTCATACCGGGATAAAGGTCAACATCCTCATGGAATTCATAAATATAAGCCACATTAAAGGTACTAGATATGTTCATGGATTCCGACAAGTCGATCACATAAGCGTTGCCATTGATCTTCTTTAGTACCTTGAAAGGCCCGTACTTGCGAGACTGCAACTTCGTGTAAGTGCCAACTAGGAATCTCTCCTTATGCATGAACACTGTTACATCATCCCCTTCTACAAAAACTTTGGATCTACGATGCTTGTTTACTCACTATGACATAACACCAAAACGACCAAGTATAATCGCATAATGGAAATGCAGAATAGTGGTTTAGTTTAAATTATCGATCCGGGCTCTAGATCTACTACCTAACCCGTGAACTTCTATTATCTAGCGGGACTAAGTGAGTGAAGTGATTTCAAAGCAAAAGAAATGAAAAACAAGTAATGTTCTGGTTCTTTTCAGGTGCTAAAGGTCATCAAGGTATGGTTCTCCCTAGTGTGCAGCTAGTGCAGGTTATACGTTTCCAATTTACTCAGATTGATAGATAAATCGAGGAAAGTTCTTGACAAGTCTGAAATCTCGACTAAAGTAATCCAGACCCTCTTAGTTCGAATACCCGACGGGCGACTAAGCTCCACCAGTATAAACTAACCAAGGCCATAACACACCAACCTTCCTCTACTGGCTTTAATTCCAGTACAAATCAGTGAATAAATTTCTCAACTAAAGAAATCTATCCACTATTTCCAATTAAGGTTTCTCTATTAACCTTTAAGGTTGCTATATTA